GCAAAGAGCCCAGTGGGCGGATCTGGAAGCCGCTTGGCGGGGGCTGCTGCTCCGTCAGGGCGGTCCTGTTGGAGGTAGAGACCCCACAGGTAGAACCGCTGTTAAAACTTCTCCTGAGACCAGTAACAACGATGCGGTGTGTGTATACACACGTCACACGTGTCACATGCATGTGATGGGATGCTACACCGCGGTAAGTAATAAGAGGGAATCCGCCGTCTGTGGACGTCCCGGGCCTGGAAGGGACGGTGGGAGGGAAACAGTCAGAGGACAGCGATGGACACGGTCCTGTCTCACCTGGGACGTGAGAAACCAAGCAAGAGAATGACCACGGAAACACACGCCTTTACACGCTGACCACAGACCGCGCCGCCAGAGCGGGGCCAGCCGGGCTGAGAAGGCCAGGAGGGGGCGAGGGCATATAAATGGCTCGGGGGGGCACATCTGGACCTGTCGAGCTGGGAGCCAGGTGTACCCTGAACTGCTGACAGCCCCAGAGTCTAAATTTTGAATCCAATTCCTCTCCCTGACGTGAAGCATATTCATGACATTTCAGAGACAAATAATAAATCTCTTACATAATAAAATGAAAGCAATTGAATTCCCTGTTGTGAAAACAAACCTTGGCGGATCCTGCTGTGGATCCCCAGGAGCCCAGGACCCTCCACGCGGCGTTCTAGCCCCTCCCCAGATGGGCGGATGCCGCCCCCTGCCCCGCCTGCCCCATCCCGACTGCCCCATCCCCGGCCCGTCCTGGCCACGGCCTTCCAGGCAACAGCGGTGGCTGCCGGTCTGCAAAGCGCTGCCTCTTCTGGGTTTCCACGGGAGCTTCAGTGTCTGCCTCAGGGGACCTGAGAGCCGCCGTGAGAGCAGCCGAAGATGCCCAGCCACGGGCTGTTTCCACAGCACCAGCGTCCACTCCCAGCTCTGCAGTGAGCACGGTAGGGCTGGGGGGAGCTCCTGAGGGTGGCGTCACTCTGCGCCTCCAACAGCCGGCGGTCAGCCCCAGCCTCCCGGCTCCCGCCTGCTCCCTGAGCCTGGGGACGCCCCGTGGACGCACAGCACACTTGGCTCGGGCTGTGGGCAGCGGACACGCTGGGACGGGGCTAGGCACTGGGCTGGCAGCCTGGACGGTTCCTCCCGGACTCACCTCTGCGCAGGGCCACGGCACAGCCACAGGGAGCCCCAGCGACCAGTCACAGGAGCTGCCGTCAGAGAGCAGCCCGGACACTGGGCACCATGGACACTGAGCTCAGGGGACACACAGGCCCTGCCCACTGCCTGGCGGCCCCGGCCAAAACTCACGTTCTCCTCGTGGCACGCAGGTCTGGGGCGCCCCGACCCGGCCCTTCCACAGCCGCCTCCAAACCCAGCAGGCTGAGGGCGGTGCCCAAGGACTAGGCGGCCCAACAGCTCTGCCCGCCCCGCAGCCTCCGCAGGGGGTGGGGGGGACAGGCCCTGCACCCTGCTGGATGCCCTGCAGGACATGCTGCCCCTGGCCTGGGCATCCGCCCTGGACACAGTGCCCCAGACACCACCTGTGCGCCCGGTCCCCCGACGACCCACCGGCTCGGCCGCAGCAGCTCGCACTCGGAGCGCCCAGGCACCTGACGCTGAGTCCAGTCCCGACCCCGCGGGCTCTGCCCTCCAGAGGGTGCGTCGTCGGCGCCGCGGCAGGAGCATAGCAGCCCGAGGGCAGGGCCCCTCTTATGTGCTCATCGCTGCCCGCGGCTCCCAGGAGGAGTCAGGGATGGGCCCGGGGGCCTCCCTCCCAGCCTGGACCCCTGCCAGCTCCCGGCCCCCAGGGCCCTTTCCGCCACGTGGGCACCCCCTTGGCAGCCGTCACTGTGAGGAGAGAGCGTGGAGGCGGCTGAGCCCCACAGACTGACCACGGGCCCTCCGTGGCCGAGGGCGCTGCCCCAGGAGAGCCAGGAGACGGTCAGAGTGGGTTCCTGGCCTGCGGCCGCGCCCCCTCCCACCCCAACTGGCTGCTCCTCCTTGAGCCACAGCCGCGGACTGCAGACCACGTCCACACGCGCTGGGACCCCTGCCAGGCCGAGGCGGCTCAGCGGCCCCCACTCCACGCTGCAAACGGCAGGCCCGGTGGCGCGGAGGCGGCTCAGCCCAGCTGCGAGGGCCTGCGGCGGGAGCAGACAGAGGACACACTCGGGCCGGGGAGGGCCCGGCTCCTGGGAGCAGCGGGGAGGGACCGCCCTGCCCTCACGGCGTCCCCTCGGGTCTTTCAGGCCTGGGCAGGTCAGCTGAGGGCAGGAGCCGCCGAGGGCGCCAGGGGACCTCGGGCCGGCTGTGCTGGGGTGCGCTGCCTCCCGCAGGCTGGACGAGGGCGACAAGCCCGCAAAGCGCTGGACCCCCTGGGCCTTTGGGCACAGACGTGGCGCCCACACAGCCGGGAGGATTCCAGGGCTCCCCTGGTGCCCCCCTCGCCACTGTGCCCAGACCCGAGAACACGCCTCCAAGTGACTCTCCTTCTGCAATGAGGAGACACCCACGGACGTGTCTCCCAGCGCCACCCTAGGACAGGCCCTGCCCAGAAAACCAGGGGTCCCTGCACCACGCCCCCACCCCCCCGTACCCCGCCCTCACCCCACTCTCGCCCCACCCCATGCAACCCTCAAGCACCACCCCTCACCTCTGCACACACCCTGCATTCTCCCTCTGCACCCCACCCCACCCCCATCCCCACCCACCCCTCACCCACCAAACACACTGCACCCCATTATCCCACCTCTGCACTGCACCCCACCCGGCACAAGACCCTGCCCCACAACCCCCACACCCACCAACCCACCCAGAACACCCCGCCTGCCCCAGACCCCACGGGGAAGTGCTCCCGCTGCGGCCCCCACACGCTGTCCTCGGCTGCAGAGCCCGCGTCTCCCCCGTGGCTGCCCCGCGCTGCTGGCGGCTCCTCCCCTCTGCCCCGGAACAGCGTCCCCCTCGTTGTCCTCTGGGCCCCGGGGGCGAGTGTGACCCTGTTGGAGTTCGCGCTGTCCTGGGTCTCCCGGCGCCACGACCCTCCCCGGCCTGGTGGGCGCGAAGCCCCGCTGGCCTGGCCCTGCCCTTCCCTCCGCTCCGGGGTCCGCCTCTCCGGGGCACCCGCGGGCGTGGGGCGCGGGGCTTTCCCGGGGCCCGCTCGCGCCTGCTCAGAGCCCCTGGCCGGGGAGACCCCAACCTGAGCACAAGCCCCTTCTTGAAGCTGACTCTCGGGGCTGTTTATCAACGAGGCCATGATGAACGGGAGGGTGGAGGGTCGGCTTCTGAGCCGCTTCTCAGACCAGGCGCGGTGCCCGCGGCCCCCGCCAGCCCCCGCCAGCCGCTGTCTCTCCCGCTGCAGCGGCGCTCAGCGGCGGGTTCACCCCGCGTCCTCCTGCGGGAGTTACCACACTCCGCCCGCAGCGGAGCACGTTTCCGGACACCACCCTCGGGAAGTCCCCCGTGCGACGACGGGGCACCCAGAGCCCGTGTGAGGCCCCCGGCGGCCGCGCCCAGGCCCCGTGCCCAGGAGGGCGACTCGCAGACGCGCCAGAGCGCAGACCCGGTCCTGCGTCAGCTGTCGCGGCCACTCACATAGCACACTGATTCCTGTGTGTGGTTCAGTCATTTTACCACCCAGATTACCAGCACCGATTCTGGGGTGTCTGGAAATGCTCCTCATCAAATACTGCCATGCCCACCCCCTCAGACCCCCACCACGCTCCGCCCCACCCCCACCCCAGGCCCACCAACCAGCCCCGCAGCACCCCCACCCACAACAAAGCGCCCCACCCTGCCCTAGAGGCACCCCTGCTGCGCACCACAGCAGCTCAGGCCTCCGGCCTCCGGGCCGGGAACGCCCCGCGAAGTGGAGCCGGGCCACCCTGCGCAGCGCCCCCCGCACGTCCTTGTTCCGCAGGCTGTAGACCAGGGGGTTCAGCAGCGGCGTGAGCACCGTGTAGAGCAGCGAGAAGAGCTTGTTGAGGCTGAGCGCGGCCTCCGACGGGGGCGTCATGTAGGGCCGGGAGGCCAGTTCACACGCAGGCGCCCCCAAGGGCCGGGTGGGGTGAGTCTGGGGAGCGGGCGGGGGTGGGTGAGGGTTTTAATGACACAAATGGCGCAGACCCCTTCGCAGCCTCACACCGGGGTCAGCTCGCGCCTGCGTCCTCGGCACAACAGCAGTCCCCAGCGCCCTCCCTGGCCGCGGGCAGGGGTTGCCTTCCGGGCGAGCCCTTGGGGACGTGCTGGCCCTACTGCCCACCCCCAGCAGGGCTGCCGAGCCCGCCGTGGTGGACGGCGCTGGAGCCACGGAGCCAGCCCCCCACGACATCTCCACTCAGGCCAGCGGCCTCAGACCCGAGCCCCCGTGTGTGGGGAACAAGGTGCAGCTAAGACCCGGCCCTGTTCCCTGCGCACCTGCAGCTCGAGAACTGGGTCCCCGGCTTGGGGGAACCCCGAGGAGTCTGGGCCTGGGGCGGTGGGGCCCCGCAGGCCGCGTGCGTGTGAGTGGGTGAGTGTGAGCGAGTGTGCGTCCAGCCCAAAGCCCTGCCAGCCACGGGTGAGGTCAGAGGCGTCTGCAGACACCCTGCACGTCACTGCCCACCGCCCTGCCCCTGCCCAGGGACCCCTGAGCTGGCTGTGCGGGGGTGCCGGGGGAACGGGCCTCCCTGCGGGCCCAGGCTCTCACCGTGCAGGGCGGGGCGGTGTTGGACTGGCCTCCGCGGGCTCGGCTGCGCCGGTGAGCTGCGCCTTCTGGCCGGGTGGTGCCGACGCGAGGTCAGGAGACACCGGAGTGGTGACGGGGAGGACGGTGCCGCCGTGCGCTGCTGTCCTCAGGGGGCCTGGCTCTTTCTGGGTCTTCCTGCCGCCCTCGCCGAGCTCATGGCCTCCCGCCCACTCCGTCCTCAGCCTCGCCTGGGGCGGCTCCGGGATGTCCAAAGTGCATCCCCCAGGACAACCCGGCAGTGACCCCCACAGCTGTGCACTGCACAGGCGGGGGCACAAGACTAGGGCCCTCGGCCCAGACCGCCTGCCTGGTGGCCGCCACTGCCGGCCAGCGCTGTCTGCAGGCTGGCCCTCAGCTCCCTGTTCCTGAGGCTGTAGATGAGGGGGTTGGTGGATGGGGGCACCACGGTGTAGAACACGGACAGCGCGGCGTCCTGAGCCGACGCCTGGGCTGAGGGAGGCTTCAGGTAGACCAGGGCCCCTGTCCACAGGAACACGGTCACCACGACCAGGTGGGGGACGCAGGTGGACAGGGCCTTGGACCTGCCCTCTAGGGAGGAGATCTTCAGCACGGCCGAGAAGATGTGCGCGTAGGAGAATGAGATGTAGATGAAGCAGGCGGTGGAGACCATGGCCGTGGCCACTGTCACCGACGCCTCCCCGAGGTTGGTCTTGGTCTCTGAGATCAGAATCACCTGCGGGATGTCGCAGAAGAAGTGGTGGATTTCCCTGGAGACGAACCTTGTCCAGCAGAAGGTGGCCGCGGTGTGCATGGTCCCCGAGACCCCCGCGCCCAGGTACAGTGCCCCCACCATGCGCCCGCAGGTGCCCCTGCTCAGGAGCGCCTCGTAGTGCAGCGGGCGGCAGATGGCCACGTAGCGGTCGTAGGCCATGGCCGTGAGGATGCCCATCTCGGCCGAGGCGAACGCCACGATCCCAAACACCTGAAAGACGCAGCCCAGGAAGGAGATGGCGCTGCGGCCCGCCAGCACGCTCAGCGCGAAGGCCGGCACTGTGGTGGAGATGAAGCAGAAGTCCACCAGGCTCAGGTGCTGCAGGAAGAAGTACATGGGTGCGCGCAGCCGCGCGTCCCAGGCCACCAGCCCCACGATGAGCCCGTTCCCGCACGTGGCCGCCAGGTAGGCCAGGAGGAGCAGCGCGCCCAGTGCTGCCTGCATCGCGGGGTCAGCTGAGAAGCCCAGGAGGAGAAACTCCGTGATGGCCGTGAGGTTGCTCATCTGGCCGCGGAGGGCGGGCTTGCGTGTGCCGCAGGACACAGGACACAGGACACAGGCGTGGCGGAGGCTGCGGGCGGGCGGCTCCGTGGGTCCGTCCCAGTGGGTCCTCTCAGTGCGTCTGCATGCGCTTGTGCGAGCAGGCGTGACAGCGGGTGTGACCGGGCGTGGTGCAGGTGTGGGTGCAGGCGTGAGCAGGTGTGGGTGTGTTTGTGAGTGTGAGCAGGTGTGCAGCCGGTGTGTGCGCGTCCTGTGCCCGGGTGTGCAAGTGTAGCTGCACGTGTGCGCGTGTACCTGTCAGTTACTGAGAACAGCTGGAAAATAGCACAGGGCCAACTTCAGGGCAGACGGGCTCGGCCTGAGGAGCTGCCTCCCAGGGGGCCCGGCCCCGTCTCAGCCCGGGAGGTGCTGCGAGTCCACGTCCACGCGGGCTGTCCGTGCTGGCGGGCGGGAGGGGAGCCGGCCTCGCTGAGACTGAGCCCCTCTGCGGTCTGATGTTGCCTCCAGCTGCCCACACTCTGGGCCGAGGGGCACAGCACTCGTGGCTCCGGCTCCTCTGAAACCGTCTGGGGGACAGTGGGCAGAGGCAGGGGGTTCTGTGGGGCGGGGGCTCTGCAGGGGCCCCGGGTGGAGCGGCCAGCACACCGCACTGGGCCAGCCGCCTGCCTGCAGGGCCTCGTGGACGCGCTCAGCCCGCAGTCTGCGAGACGCAGCAACGAGGCAGAGCTCCCCCGCGGGCACGTCTGTGGGACACGAGAACGTACTTTGACTTTGAGTCACTTTCTGTGAGTGATCAGGTGTGACCCGAGCCCGCCCGGGCAGGAGAAACTCCACTTCAGTGACTTGACTGTGTTTTGACAAAATCACTTTGTCTAAAGCACTTTCCAACTCACTTTCCTATTTGTGTGTCTGTGTGCGGGCGTGTGTAGGCAGGCGTGTGTGTGCGGGCGTGTGCGGGCATGTGTGGGTGTGTGCAGGCGTGTGCAGGCGTGTGTGCCCATGTGTGCCCCTGTCCCCTCAGGCTCGCCGCCTTGGGCTTTCCTTGGCTTTCCTCGGGCTCGGGCGATCTCCCGTGTTCCCCGCCTCTGAGACAAAGCCCTGACTCTCCGGCTGGACCCCAGGCGCCTGCCGGGTAAACGCGGGTGTCGGCCCCAGGTCTGGCCACAGCACAGGGCCGCCAGCCACCGCCGCCACGTGCTGGGAAACCCCCAGGTCCGGACGCCCCCCTGACGAGGGGACTCACCGGTCAAGGCAGAGTCTCCTCCAGGCAGCGGCCGTGGCCTGGCTCCAGGGTCCGCCCCCGCGCTGGAGGCCGGGCCTCGCCGAGACGGGAGAGGGCGGCCCAGGACCGAGAGCTCGGCCCTCGCAGAGCAGCCCTGGGCGCCGGCCGGTGGTGGGCGCCTGATGTCTGCCCTGTCCTCCCTGCCGGGAGGGCCCTGGGGGCTGTAGGGGGCGGCACCTGGGGACGCACAGCGGGCACAGTGCCCAGGGCTCTGCCCCAGGGGCCATTTCCCCAGGAAGCTGCTTGGGGACCCGGAGGCCCCACGTGAGCTCAGCCAGCGCCCCGGCCCCCGGCCCTGCCCCCCAGCCCTCCCGGCAGCCGTGCGGCCCTCTGGGGCCCTGTGCTCGCAGGTGGCAGGAGAGGCGGGGGTGGCTGGTCACCCCAGCCCCCACAGGCTGGTGCCTGCGCCCCCCAGCTCACTTCTAAGCATCCCCCTCAGTAGTGGCCGTGACGGGCAGGCGGCCATGTCCCCGCGGAGGGGCTGTTTCTGTGAAGGCTCATCCCCCCCCAGGGTCCCATGAGGACCCTCTTGCTGCGGACCCCAGTCCCGGGGCTTTGAGCATCACCCGACTCTGATGTGGGCGCAGGCCTCAGGCCCCCAGGCCGTTTCTGGGCCGAGCTGGAGAAGCAGGGTCATGCTCAGCCTGGACAGCGTGACAGGCTTCAAAACAAACAACCACTGCAGGAAAGTGGCCCTTGTTCCTCATCCAAGGGCTTCTGTGCACGCGCCGGGCCCGCCGGTCATGCAGGGAGCTGGAACCTGCAAACCTTTGCTTCCTTTTGTGTGATTTTAAGCATCATTTTGTGTTTTTAAGGATGATGTTTGCTGTTTGCACAGCCTTACATCTCATGCGGTCTGGATGAAGGCTCTGCCAGCTGGCAGGGCCTTGGCTGTCCAGAGGCCCAGAGGCTGGTCAGCGAGTCCTGCACCCCACAGCCGCCCCCAGGAGCCCCGGAGTCACAGCCAGCAGGCGCCGCCCCCAGGAGACACAGGCTGGGGAGAAAGGGTTCAGCGGCTGATTGTGCTTGTCTGTGCTGTCTGCACTTGCCGACTGCAGGGACAGCAGGTCCGTCCACCGGGGAGGCCTGACCCGTGGGCCGCTCGAGTGCCGTCCGGGCTCCCGGCGCCGTGTGAACGTCTCTGCGCCGAGGCCGAGCAGCCCTGCCGCTGCGTGACACTCCAGAGGGCGCAGAATACTCTGTCACAGCCACAGCCCCAGGCTGTCCGGGACATGGTGGGGGAGGTGGCTGGGCGGTGCTGGCGCTGGGCCAGACCCCCTGGGGGCCCCAAGCCCACTTCCCGGATCCCCCCAGCACCCCCAGTCCTCACCACATGTGCTACCGTCGAGCGACAGTCACTTCATTTCCCCGGTCCGGCTCCCGGCAGGTCACGGTGACGACGGACCAGCCCCCCGACCACTGTGGGGTGCTGGACACGCCCCAGGCAGGCGTCTTGCTCGCTGGGTCAAGGTCCAGCCATCGGTGTTGCTCAGCCGCGCCAGCCCCAGCCCAGCTGTCTGTCTCTCCGTCCACCACCCCTCGATTCCCCACGGTAGGAGGGCCCGGCTCTGCCCTGGCTCCCCACAAGCTTCTCCCTTGAGGAGGGCCAGACCCAGCCCTTCAAGTGATAGAAAACCCCAGAAAAACCCCCAATAGCTGCCCCCCGTCCGACCCTCAGCGGCTCTCATGTCCCTGAGCAAAATACTTTATTTTCTTTTTCTGTGGAAAATAAAGGATGTATTTAAATCCCCCCGCTCTAGACAGTGTGACACCTGACCGCCACGAGGAATGACCACTGCCTGCTCGCTGGCAGCCACTCTGGCCTCGACTGTGACTCTGCCCTTATGGGGGAGGGTCAGTACTGGGCCGGCCAGTCCATAGCGCTGGCCGGGCACAGCCGCAGTCTAGGCAGCCCTGCCCACCCTAGGAGCGGCCAGGGGTCCAAGCTGCCCCTCTGAGCCACCTGGGGACTGTGCAGGCAGTCCTGGTGGTGTCCAGGTGAGTGTCCAGGACTCACACCACTTGGACAGTCACAGGTCGTGTGTCCAGCACAGGCTGAGCTCCCAGCTGACCCACAGGCACTGACGGAGGTGAGGGCTGCAGCGTGGACATGGGGTGGGGAGGCGTGGACACCTGGTCCTCGGGGGAGACCGTGAGGGGCTGGGCAGCCGAGGTGGGCATCTGGGGCAGGCACGGTGTCCCGGGAGGGAGGCGTCGGGGCGGGCGTGACCCCTCAGCTGAGCCGGAGCCGTAGGCAGGTGGGGCGGATGGAGAGGTGACCCCCTCACCCACAGGTCACCGGGCCCCGTTGGGCCTGAGGTCAGGGTAACTGGAGGGACGTCACATGCGAAGTGGCATTCCCTGGATGGAAACCTGTCGGGGAAAGGGGCAGTGGTGAGCGTCCAGCCGGTGAGGCCAGCGATGCTGCCCTATTCTAGCTGCCGCCCGCCGGGGCACCGCGGTGCCCGCAGCAGCCTGCCCAGGGCGCGGCCGATGTCCCTGTTGCGCAGGCTGTAGATGAGGGGGTTGGCGAAGGGCGGCACCATGATGTAGAACACGGCGGTCAGCAGGGTCTTGAGGGAGGCCTCGTTGGCGATGGGGCCCAGCACAGCCACCAGCCCGGAAACCACGAACAGGAGGAGGATGGCCAGCTGGGGCGTGCAGGTGGACAGCGCTTTGTTTCGGGCCTCCGTGGACCGGATCTTCAGCACGGTGGAGAAGATGCTGACGTAGGACAGGACCAGGAAGGCGAAGCAGACCATGACCAGGCCGGCGCTGACCGCCAGGATCACAGACTCGGAGAGCTGGACGGCGGGGGCCGCGATCCTCACCACCTGGGGGACGTCGCAGAAGTACTGGTTGATGACGTTGGACCGCGTGAAGGGCAGCCTGAACATGTTTCCGGTGTGCACGGCCGAGTACACCAGCCCGGTGCCCCAGGAGCCGCCTGCCGCCCGGCCGCACACACGCGGGGTCAGCGTCAGCCCGTAGTGCAGGGGCGCGCAGATGGCCACGTAGCGGTCGTAGGACATCACCACCAGGAAGGCCAGCTCCATGGAGGCGAAGAAGAGGTACAGGAAGATCTGGGCGGCGCACTCCCCGCGGGAGATGGCGCGCGAGCCGGCCAGGGAGTTGGCGATGAGCTTGGGCACGCTGACCGAGATGCAGCACAGGTCGATGAGCGACAGGTTGCCGATGAAGAAGTACATGGGGGCGTGCAGGCGCGGGTCTGCCGCGATGGCCGCCACCGTCAGCAGGTTCCCGACCAGGGCCCCCAGGTAGATGAGCAGGAAGAGCAGGCCCTGCAGGACCTGGAGCTCCCGCGAGCTGGACACGTCCATGAGGAGGAACTCCGTGAAGACCGTGAGGTTGTCCATGTCTGCTCGCCGCTCAGGGCCCTGGACGTGAGAGGAGGCAGGAAGCGAGTCCAGACCCTGCCCCGGACCCCGCCCACCCCAGGTGAGCAGGGTGGGGGCGTGCAGGGCAGGGTGGGGGACAGCGCCGCAGGCGGTGAGTGAAGTCCCCACTGGGCTCTTCCCGCTCTGCCGAGACCCCAGATTCGTCCCCACCCAGCGGGGGCCGGAGCTCAGCGCCTGGGGCTGTAGCCCGAATTCAAGGCCGTCCCCCACGGCCCCCCTTGTCTCTCCAGCCCCACCTGGGTGGCGCTGCCGCAGGCGTGGGGGCTCACACTCGAGCTGTGTGGGGACCCGCGGGTGGGGGG